TCACGTAGGTAAAAAATTAAAATTAATAAAGTAAAAAAAAAATCACGACGTTTCGGAGGCAACACAAGCTTCCGTCTTCAGGTGGAACCGTCACAGCACGATTGCTGTATCATGAAAGAGAAATTCCAAGAAAAACCATCCTTGTATATACTGGTTGAGGGTGGGAGGAGCCAAGGCAGGCCCCTGGATATTATTATTATTATTGTGAAGTTGGTGTGGCTAAAGCCGCTGCTAGGAATGAGCCTTTGTTGTGTAGACGAATTTTTATTCTTTACCTACGTGACTTTACCGAAAAAACCTAAAAATACTATTGTGTGTATTAGCCTGGTGGTCCACCACTATAGTGTGTAGTTAGCAGAGGACGCAACCGGGTACCCGATACCCGTACCCTATCCGATACCCGGCTACCCGTACCCGACCGGGTACGGGTACCCGTTTGCGACCCTGGTGCGGCCGGGTACGGGCACGGGTAAGGAATCAAAACCCGTTTGCGACCTCTGGTAGTTAGCCTGGTGATCCACCACCATAGGTTGTTATCTGGTGAAGGGGCAGTTACCCCTTTGTGTTGGAATGAAGAAATGTGTTGCCTTCAAAGAGTGTGTCTGCGACTCAGTTGAACTCACTACAAATGTATGCTGAGATCCTGGCCATTACGGGGTGGTCACTTGCCAGAAGGAGTCATGGAAAAAGAGAAATGTAACCCGTCGTATAGCAGGCTGCTCTTTGTATGCCGTTTCCAGGATGAAATTGAAAATGTGAACACAGGCACAGCTGCACGTTCTGGAAAATTAATTTAAATGAACTGGTAGGGAAAAATAATCACGGCGCTTCTCTGTTTCACAGGTAATTATATCCCTGCATAAAAAAGGTAAAGGTGAATTCCTGCAATTCCTTGCTCATGACACTGCTGGCAAAATGCCGCCTCCGCTCTGGACAATGCCAATAAAAAAAACTGTAAATTATATTTAAAAAAAAAGGAATTTTACCAGTAAGGCCCACTAAGTGAAATAGCTCTCTTTCAGAAGCAACCTAGCCACAAATGATAGCCCTCTTCCAAGATGTCTGGTGACTGGACATTTGTGAAAAATAACTTCATAGCTCATCAGATTCCTCCCCTATACCGTAATACATTGGATTGCGAGTAACTTGGTCTGCGAGTGTTTTGCAAGACGAGCAAATTTTTTAAATAAATATTAATTTGATAAACGAGCGAGGTCTTGCAATACGAGTAGTACGTGTATACGCTTTGTCTGCCGAACGTAACGTGATCACAACTGATATTCGAGTGCTTTGATATACAAGTGCTTTGGATTACAAACACGTTTCCGGAACGAATTATGCTCGCAATCCAAGGTTTATGCTATAAATGAATATACTGATTCTGAAGTGGCTTATCATCATGTGAAAATGTATAGCAACCAAAAACTCAAAATGCATGTTGATTCAAAGTGTGGAGGGAAAACCGGAGGAACACAAGAAAAAATACACACAACCCACGACCTCTTGTATACGAGGCGAGAGAGTTAACATTTCGCCAACGCATCAAACCCATTTATACTGCTGCTGGGTGGACAGAAGTTGTTGGGGAGGGGGGGGGGGGGTTAAGAATCTTACAGCGTTGTTACGATCGCTGTGATGGGAGAACAAATTGAACTGGCGTTACCCTCTGGGTCTCAAGTGCAGGAGAGTGCTAACAGCATCCATGTGGCCGCTAAAGCTTGTTATGGGTCAACTAAGCAAGAGGCCAAACCCAAGACCAAAGCAGCGAGTCCGGTATATGAACAAATAAAGAAAGCTCCTGAATTATTTTTAAATCTACAAAGAACCAATAAATACGCTCTACCTCCCTGGACACTCTGTGTGTTTTGAAGAAAGGCCAGTGGCCCTAAACATCACCTATTATATAATTTTGCCTTTTAAGGCAGTGTGAGTGAGGAATGTGTTGAGTTTCTTTCATTATATATATGCATGTGTGTGTGCGGGTGGGGATAACGGTAGTGCAGTGGTTAGCGCGCTGCGCTGAGAACCTGGCGACCCAAGTTCGATTTCCGCTCACGGTGTTATCTGAACCGGTCCTGGGCCCCCTCCTATGTCGACTCAGCCTCAAATTATTACCTGGTGCGGCATGTAACCATCACCACTTGGGAGACATAGGTGGCTGGGCGTGGTGCTGGCCACCCACTCCAATCGTGTGTCGCGCCGACCTTCATAGATGCTCGCTAACACCACTTGCCCCGACAGCCTGCAAAGGCCACACGGGGCATCTTTGTCTTCTTTGTGTGTGCATGTACGTACTTGGTCGGATTCAAGCGTGTACTTTACAGTGGGAGCAAAGTCCAGGTTGTGATGAACTGAGCCAAGGGAGAAAAATCTCTGGCAACTCGCGGGTTTCCATGAAGCAAATTTAATTGGACTCGTTGACTCACTGCAATTAAGGCGCAGCTGTGGCATGTCGGGGTCTATGCTCTGTCAACAGTAGGCCCAGAGTACATCATCACGCTGTAGAGTAAGTTTTCCTTTGCGTTCTGTTTTGCAGTCATAATGCAATAATGTGATAATAATGTCAGTAACCAGGGCAAAACACTCCGTTTGGTTTTTCCCCAATCACAATATTTATCTAGATGTACTATTTCAAATAAGGAATTTATTTGGTACAAAAAAAATTACGATGATAGGAATAGAATGCTTGGGGTGAAATGGGTCCATCAATTCAACAACCTATTTCGATTCTCAACCATGCTGATATAAGGCATCGAACCGCATGTGTAAGCACCATTGATCCGTATACGTTGCATGACGGGGGCGCTGTGGATGTGTAACGGTTGGCGCCGATTCTGGATTTGCAATTAAGAGGTCACCGCACGGCTGTCGAAAAGATCGTGGGGTTTTTTTTTTTACTCCCCCCAACAGCCACGCACCTCTGTCCACCCCAGCAGTATAAATGAGTTACACCACAATTAAGTCCATTGGCAGGTCACGTGTGGTGGTTAAAAGTGTGGATTACTCCCACCTCTTCCAAGAGGTCTGGCCAGTGTGGAAGACTAGGCCAAGATACCCTCCCATCAGGGCTCTATACAGATATTTTTAGAGGAGGCCGATCGGCCAGCGGTGGCATGAGCACAGAACTGCAGGGCTTGCACCTTTACCAGTGCGGGTGACATGCGTGCATGTCACCCCCCCCCCCCCCCGCCCTCATTCCGCCGCAACCCTAAGAGGTGCTAACATTCATCGCAATATTCTTGGTTCTTTCGGTAAAGTCACGTAGAAGGGAAATAATAAAATAATAAAAATAAAAGCTAAAAAATTCTCACGACGTTTCGATTGCAACACAAGCAATCATCATCAGAAATTGATTTTCTTGCTGTGGTTTTCACACCTGACGATGACTGCTTGTGTTGCAATCGAAACGTCGTGATAATTTTATTGTTGTATTTTTATTATTTTATTATATCCCTTCTACGTGACTTTACCGAAAGAACCAAGAATATGAATCCCTGCAGTCACGAAAGCTTTAAATTGAAATTCATTGCAATGTTCAGAATAAAAATGATCGAATCCTTGATTCAAATCGTGATCCACGCCCCGCCCCACTTGTGAGAATGTATCCAGTCGCTGATTTGAACTTTTCCAGTCACAGTAGAATGTCAACGTTGACTAATGTTATTTTGGCAACAAAGCTGACAATAATAGCCGAGTACGTAAATTATTGGGTAAAAGACTGCTTTTACATTTAAACTTTGGCAAAAGCGGTCTGCTTATGAAAGTTGTGCATTAAACTGGCTTCTGCACAGACAGGTCAAGATGGAAAAGTCTGGACCGAAACACATGGCAAGCCTTAGTCCAGCAAAGAACACACATTTTCCTATCACAAGGAAAACCTTAGTTTGTTTTGAAATTTAAATATTAAACATAGACAACTGCTGGATAGTAGCGTCAACAACAATGTGTTTTATATATTTTGAAAATCCTCACCGAATCTTTTTTCTTGTAACCATTGGAATTGGATTGTGATTTACAGTCAATTCCATTTAAAATCAGATTTTTCACAGAGGCCATGAAAGTTGTTTCAGGATTTAATTTGTGTGCATTCCAGCTGTGTGTGCCACCATGCCCAGCACGATTCGACACATATGGAGTAAGCCTAAGAATCTATTCTTCCTTTTCCCTCTATTTCTCAATCTTTGTGTAGCCAATTATATCCCGATTGTGCTACCACGGTGTCATCTCACGGGATGAAGAATCGATTTCAAACGCTCATCGAGTAGAGCAAGCACAATGCAATAAGAACAGAAGTCATTTTGAAATCCCTTCAAGCTACCTCTCATCCGATCACTTTCCCACCTGCCCAGCCACATGGTAATGTTTGTTAGTGATCATTCTCCGAACTGGCAGTTAAAACTAATTTCTTTAGCGCTGCTTTTGTGTTTAGTTTGTTGACCTTCCCCCACACCTCCAATTAGCACGGTTGGCTACGTACGGTGCGAAAGAAGTTCTTATATACATGCATAAAAAGTGATGGGGTTTTTTTGTCCAGAGTGATTGGTGACTGGGCTGAGATCACCCACTCTATACGCTTGAGAACCCAGTTAAATCACGGGTGGCCGAAACTCGGATTCGAACCGAGCATCGAAGCTGTACCAGCACCGATGAATCGCTGTGCGTGCATTCTGCCTCCCGCCAGACGAGACGTACGCATGCACGTACGATGAACGTCTTTCGCACCGTGCTTAGAAAAACCGCGCTAATCGGAGGCTCTGACCTCTTCCATCCCCCTCGGCATAAAATCGGACAACCCTTGACAAAGCCCCTCAGCGGTGAACGGTTCGAAGCAGCGCACTGAATTACCACCCAAGAGCAATTAAGCCGCAGCCTCCCATTGAACCCATTCACTTAAGGGGACCCAGGATAAAAAAATATATATATTAAGCCACCGTTGTTTGGCATGGATTTCGTGCAGTTAAACATTCGCCGGCTGAGGCTCAAAATGTGAGTGCATTCGCTCTGCCCCCTTATGTCTGTCTGTAACCTGGAGGAGGGGGGGAGGGGTGGGTGAGCAGGCGTCACAGTAACTGTCGTGAAAATTACCAATATCAACCAAAGGCGAGTGCCAAGTAGCGTTGCTGTTGGGGGACTCGCACCACAGAAAACCGGCCTCATTCATGACAGTATCGCCAAATGCAGAAGACAATGCACAAAAAGGCCAACAACAGAGCGGTTCGACAATGCCGACCATGGCGCTGAAGTTATCACGTGTGACGTCACTCCACCGTGCGAATTAAAATCGAAACATCACCATCTGGAATTGAAATAACCCCGAGGGCGAACAGCATTCTACAAAGTCGGTTACGGAATCCACGCGTAGGAATTATTTTTATTCCCCCGTCGTTAATCTAAGATTATCCGGGGGAGGGGGATTTTTCTTCTTTCCGTACCTCGTCTTGATCCATCACGGCGAACACGATGGTGGATATGCTCTCTCCGTGGTTTTCCAAAAACCGGCGGACGGTTCCTGGTTAGAGCAGGGGGGTGGAGAGGAGGTGGGGGGGGGGGTGGCGTGACGATGAGACACAGGCACATACAGAGATTACGGATCCTGTCCCTAGCGCGAATGACCGATGGGTGGGGTCAAGGGGCAGGCAAAGCCACCACCTCCACCCGGCGATTGCGCACGCGACTAAAAAATGGGTTAACGGCATGGGCCCTGAAACTGCACGCTCGTGCCTCCACTCGGGGACGCTCGGAAACACACTCGAGGAATCTTCGTCCTGCATAAAAAGAGCGTTGTAAGGAAACAACGCTATGAGAGGAACGCCTGTACGCATTACTTATTTATTTTCGTGACCTGCTTAGCTTTTCTATAGATTTTTTTATAGAGTTTGTTGTTGTTGTAAATTGTTGACCCGCCCATCTGTCTCTTTTTTACAGAATGCTCGTGCAATCCAAAAGTAGTAGAATTTTCACTGTAATTATCCATTTAACCAATTATCATCTTATTCCAGCTTGAATCAGATACACAACTGCAACTTTCAAAACTGAATTCTACATCCAACTTTGGCAAATGCAAAAAAAATTACCCGCAAACGGCTCCAACGGAGGTGTAATAAAATAATAACACAATGTAAAAAAAACATTGCAAGTGCTTTTGGAAACCATGAACATTAAAGAATATTAATGTTGAACGAGCATCAATGACCCACGCACTCTCCGAGGGCCCCTACGGCTGGCTTGTCGCTTAAAACTTCACAGCAACGCACAGCGTCCAGCTATTCAAGTTGGCCATTTATCTGCCCATTTATTTACACAAAATGAAATTCCCAGACAGTGGTGTTTCTCACAACCGGCAAGACTCTACACGATGGAAGGAAAGAGAGAGAGGGGGGGATTCGGCAAAAGCGGCGCAAATCTGGCCGCGCGCTTGGGAGCATTTGGCCGCCGGTCAGAGCGGAAATCAGTTTCTTATCCAGCGGCCTGTCAGGGCCCCCCCCGCCCTCCATCCCGGGCCACATGGAGGTCGGCTCTGCACGAGGCGCGGGCCATCGCGTCGGGAACGTCGGGAGCAACAGTCGGCCACCATCCCGGAGACGACGAGCCAGCGGCGCTTTCACGGCGGACGCCGGAGAGGCGACGAGGCCCCCCCCCCCCCCCCCCCCCCCCCGAAGCGTGCGCGTCCGGGGACTCTGGCGCTCACACCGCAAGATCCAATTATCATCAAAGCCATTAAGCGCCGGAAGAATCTCCGCAGGCCACATTACTCACCTGCTCAGGAAACTATGAGCGAGCGCGGCAGAGCTTTAGCAGTTTGGGGGGGCGAGTTTTGGGGGCTGGGGGGAGGGCTTGTACGATTAATATAGGGGGGGATGCAGTTAGCCCCCCCCGTTATGATGACGGTGCCAAGTCGGCGGGTGCGTTCATTTCAACAGAATGCGTGCGTCGGGCCGTAGCGCCGCGCTGTTCTGAACGACGTACGTTAGCACGGTTGGCTACGTACGGCGCGAAAGAAGTTTCCCAAACACGCACACATATATCGGGCAGTAGTAAAGCAAACGGGCTTCGGCAGGAAGAGTGAAGGTCTGATGGCCAGTGGTCGAGACTAACGGCAGGACAGTGTTTACATTGCTTCGTGAAGAACTCCTCCATGTCTCACTGCCCAACCTTCATTGGTCACGTGATGCCAAAATCCGTCTGACTTTTGCACGCGACCTGGACTCAGCGTGGTTACCGAATTTGTACGTAACGTAAAACCGCAACGCTTAATCTTTACACGTACTAAATCTTGACTTAAAGCTTTCGTGACCGCAGGAATTCATATCCTTTGGGTCTTACCGAAAGACCCAAAGAATATTTACACGTACTCTTAGTACAAACAGCATCGCGGCTGTTAAAACTTACTCCACAGAAAACAGAACATACAGGGCCAGCGAGGATTTAAGAAAAAAGTCTTCACGCGCGGTAAAAGTAGATCGCTTCATAGGATATGTGTTTTATCTTCAAAATGATATGATCTCCATCGGGTAAATGCGCCTTGCGAAGAAAAAGTTCTTGTTCATTTACCACTGTTGTGAAAAGATGTACTAATGGCATGAAATATAAAGAGAGGTATGTAAGCTTGTGTAAATAAACATAAATAACCCGAGAAACTGCAGCTCCATCTCTCAATCGGAACCAGCCATCCGTCTCACTGAAACGTGCAAAATCACCGTAACTACGACCAAGGCTGTAAACAGTAAGTTAATCTGCTGGGACTTTTTATTTCATTACACTTTTGGCAGCAAACACGCTCGAGTGTGTAAGTCAATTTCCACTCGCATAACTCACACGCAAAAGTTGAACCATTCCGACGACCGCGATTCAACATGCACACGCAAAAAAATTAAATGTTCCGATGGTTTCTGTTGGGACTGTTTATTGCATTACACCGGACACCTATAGTATCGAATTATATTTAAAGGTGCACGCTCCGTAAGTTGCTGCAGATGTGTCTGCCGAGCTGTCTGAAATAGTTATGTCGAAGAGAAACACGCAAGCGCGCGTGTTCTGAAAAAGTTTGGGTGGGCGGGAGGCACGGTGGATAGATGTTATCTGCCTCGCCTGGTATGCAGGAGGTCGGGGGTTTGATCCCGACCCCAATGCCTGCTGCTGTATATTTGGAGTTTGCATTTTCTCTCCGTGGCCATGTGGATTTTGTCTCCGGGTACTCCAGTTTTTCCCTCCACATTCTGAATCAACGTCAAGCGTTCAGATTATTTTTCTGCTCTAAATTTCCAAGTGATAATCTCTTTGTGCAGGTCGCTTCCGAAAAAGAAGCTATTAGCTCAGTGGGCTTCATAAGGTGAGAAAAAAAAATAGAATTTTTAATTGTATATTTTTTCAAAGGGGATTTACTTACCTTTGCTATACTTTGCACTCCTATCGTGCTTTTGTATTATTTATCGTTGTAACGTTCTGACCTGCCACTACTGGAACTATGGGCGAAAAAGAGCTGCATAGCTCATCGGATTCCCCCAGTATAAATAAATATTCTGATTCTGGATAGCAGCAGAGCCACTCGCTCACACTCGGCCCTCGGCGCACGCAGATTTGTCTGCGTTCTCCGTGTGCACGCTGCTGCGATTTGCAACGGTCAGCGCACTGGACCAGCGGATCCGGAATGTCGCCGGTTCGACTGCTCGGCGCGGCAGTTTAAACGAACAGGGGGAGCAAGTTTTTTTAAATCTCCCCCACCGCTCCCTCCCCGGCTCTCTTGCTTTGTGGCACCCACTCGGGTGGGGCAGAGAGTCCAAATGTCCCCCCTTCGTGAAGCCCCTGGGCACGCTGACCTCGGGTTTTTGCTTGCAGGGTTTCTGTTCCCCCCCTCCTCGCCCTGCCCCCTGTGCTGTGATCGGTGCAAAAGTACCGGGCTCGCGTTGAATCGAAATTTAATAAAAAAAATTAAACATCTTCCCCACCGCCTCACCGTCCACCCAGAAGAATTACAAAACGGGTAAAACCACCCTTTAAACTGGTACAAAACTTTTATACAAGACACCTTTATACAAGGCATCATGTTTGCAATAACCACAACACAAGCAGTCAAAATGCAAACAAAAAGAAACAACTCTGATAATGATATGCACTGTCCTTGAAGTTGATTGGTCCACACCCGAGACAGCTTTTCTTAGAGCCTAGTCTCCATTGGTGTTGGACCAAAAGACACCAAAAGGCGTACAACTCAAAAACAGCGCACTATTGAGAGCTCGGGGTAAGCATTTACACTATTTTACACTATGAGACCTCATTTACCAGTGGCAAAATATGTATAAAGGTGTGTGTACCAGTTTAAAGGGTAAAAACCTACTACTATATTTTGGCACTGGTAAAGGAGGTCTCATAGGGTAACACCACAGTTCACCGATGGGGCAATTTGCATGTGTGGTGGGGTAAAGTGTGGGTACTTCAACCTCCTCCCAGATGTCAGGCCAGCGTGCAAAGCGAAGAACAAAAATACCCTCTGGACGGCCTCTCTACGAGAGAAGACATCTCCCGTGGTGGTCTCTCCGCCAGCGGTGGAGCGAACAAATAACTGCAGGGCTGCATCATTTACTTTACTCACGCCGGGCACGTCTGAGCATACAAATTAAATCCCCGTTCCATACGTACCCAGGGGATCGAGCGCCAAGCAACGTCAAGAGCCCTTACAGATCCTTTACAAACGATGTCTAACAACGGGGGCGCGTTTCCCTACGTTCCTATTGGGAATGTCGACGGCAAAAACAACAACAACGCCGCGTTAGTACGGATCACGGAGGGGATGAAAGATGTTTGATGTTTTTGTTGTTGATCCGGTAGAATCAAAGGATCTCTGTATTCTCTAAGCACGCCGTCTCTGGGGCCAGATGTTACGGCCCTTATTAAAAATGAGCACCTCGGCACGCGAGCAATATGCTTCGTGAGCCTAGATAGGCAGGTAGTTGTGAACAGGCAGGCGTTGTTTCACAGAATCATAAATCTGAATATTTATTTATAATGGAGGAATCCACAAATGTCCAGTCGGGGCAGGTAAAAACGCTACAACAACAAACAGTACAAAAACATGATAGTGGTACAAAGTACAAGCAAGGTAAACAAAACGAAACCATCCCCATCTACATCTGCCCCTATAGACCGTGCGGAAGCTAACGAACCACGTGAAGCAGATTCAAGACCTGAGATCACGTGAGATAGAGTGGTAACTCAGACGCAGCTCCATGATATCCTTCGTGTCGTAAAGACACGGCGCCGATAGTGACATCGGGGATACAAGCAGTGGGGAGGGGGGAGAAATCACGGAAAAAATGTTTCATAAGGCATTTCAAAAGCTGCTGTTGGAGCTCAGCGCGTCTGACAAGCCAATGTGGTGCGCTTATTCATATTCTCGGCAATGGCTTTAATGAAATTTATTTTACAAGGACGGGGAAAAAAAACACACACAATCGCCAGCACCATTAGCGCCGCCGTCAGACGAACTCTTCTGCCTGCCCACAGGGCTCTCTACCCCGAAGATGATGAATGCAGAAATAGGCCCAAAGATGTTAGCTTGCCTTCACCGCCGTCGCCATCAATCGTGATTACAGCTACAGTTTGGCACGGTAATTTTTTTTGTAAAATACACGGTTGAGGTGTGGGTTCAAAAAACAATAAATCGTGGAATAAAATCACGAAATAAGGTGCAGCAGTGGCATTTCGGAGAGAAGCAATTAATAAATAAGGATATTTAGGGGGTACGTGGTTTGATTAGAATAAGCACGATATGTTACAGCCCCCCAGACATACACATGCATACGCACGATCACACATGTATAAACAATGAGCAGACACACACACGGACCAAGGACAGCTACACACGAATGCGCACACACACGTACACAAAGACAATGTGGACAGACATAAAGACAAAGATTCCCCCTATAGCTTTAACAGACTATTCGTGCAAGTGCTGTTAGCAAGCACCTATCAAGGCCGGCACGGCAGACGATGGGGTGGGTGGCCAGGCCCAAGCCTGGTCAGCTTTGTCTCCCAAGTGGTGATGTTTACACACTGCACCAGGTGCTCATATAAGGCTGAGTCGACCTAGGGGATAACCAGGACCCGTTCAGATAACTGTAAGTGGCGTTGGCCGCGAGCGGGAAACGAACTCGGGTCGCCGGCTTCGTAGCACAGCGTGCTAACCATTCCACTACACACAGACACGCTCGCACACAGATAGAGGCAGACAGACACACGCGTATGCACACACAAACAGGCAAACATACCGCACTGACGCACACACACACACACAGACAGATAGGGACACGGCGGCCTTACTCAAGGCAATGTGTGCCGCGTCAGCTGCTGGGAAGCCTCTCCTGGGCGTATTGATGACACACAGCCCCACGGAATTCAGGCGATTCTCCCTGCAGCACACACAGAGATAAAGACAAAGGTCCTCTGAACAACCTATTCATGACCGCTGATAAAAGTGCGATTGGCGAGCACCTATGAAGGTCAACACAGCACACGAGAATTATACGTGGCCTCCTTTGTCTACCAAAGTGGCGATATTTACACGCCGCGCTAGCTACTCATTTAAGGCCGAGTCTACCTAGGAGAGCACCAGGTCTGGTTCAGATAATCGTCACTGGTGTTGGCCGTGAGCGGTAATCGAATTCGGGTCGCCGATTTCGTGGCACAGCGCACTAACCACTGTATTAGCGCTCAATACAGTCGCGCGCAGTCTCTCACACGCAACAACTGCCATTCGCCACGAAGTGGCGGTGACGTCACCACGACGCTTGTGCCAGGCTATGTGCACGTTGAGGCCACGTGAAGTGTCGAACGCCCGCTGGCAGGAGGTGACGGGACAGACCCAGGTGCCACGGGTCGACTGACTGAGGTGACTGGCTGGTGCCTCCTACTGTGCTAGCTTGCTGGGCTTTAGCCACCCGGCGCTCCGCTTGTTGTTGTGAGCGTCTCTCCTCTGCCCTCCGTTGTCGTTGGAGGGCGACTGTCTCCAACTGCCCAGTAGTGTCATTCACGAGCCTCCTCCACAGAAGCCGATCTTGACACCGCTGGTACCAGTCATCGGCAAGTCAACTCAGCTCCACATTCTCCTGTACCACCTCACTCCATCTCTTCTCTAGCCCGTGCCGCGCCCGTTTAGCCCCCTCCATCCGACCGAACAACAGTTGTGGAATGCGGTAGCTGGGCATGCAGCGTTGCCTGCCGGAGCTCACCGATGGGACTTTTGCTAGAATTCCCTACACCTCTGCTGTAGCAGACAGATAGAAAATATGGCATCTGTGCAGGTTCGCCCTTTCCTGAAACCGCATTGGGGCTCCGCAAGCCTCTCCTCAGCGTGCCTGGCAAGGCGATGTTGAATAATCCTTGCCAGAACCTTTCCCGGCACACTGAGGAGTGAGATGCCCCTGTAGTTGTTAGTCTTCTTAAAGAGGGGGACCACCAGGCGTCAGGAGCACCCCGAAACCGTAGAACCTCTGCAAAACCTGTCGCTCACGGATCACAGCGCCCGGTGATACGGACCGTACCTATCCAAGAGTAGTCCTGGCTAGGGGGTGGCCGACAGATCACGACACCCATTGGCGGCTCAGCGACGGCCGCTCATTGCGACGCTTTGGCTTCGCTTCTTCCCCTCTCGCCGTTGGTGTCGACCCGACTCACGTGGCGATGTGCAGCACGCGCTTGTAGCATCCGTGCAGCGAGGTCTCGGCCGCCGTGCGGTAGCGCGAGTTGTACCGCGGCCCCACCGTGTGCACGATGAAGCGTGCCGCCAGGCCGAAGGCTTTCGTCATCTTGGCCTCTCCGGTGCGGCAGCCTGCAAGCCCGGCCCGCCCGCGGAGAGACGCGGATATAGAGAGACACAGACAGACGCAGAGACAGAGAGAGAGAGACAGAAAGACGCAAACAAAGAGAGACATAGGGGAGAGACAGAAGGACAGAGACACAGAAGGACAGAGACGGAGACACAGACAGAGGGGCACACGTATGATTATTTCCAACTTCACGAGACGGAGGTGGGTCAAAAAACACATTCCTGCGGAGGGAGCTAGAAGGAACACGTTGGGTTGCTCGGTCAATGGCCAGGGTCAACGGCGGCGTGGTGTATTCCGCAAATATATACATTGAGGGCGGGCACAAGCCGGCGTGAGTAGGTTAAACGTTGAGTTTTATAAGGGCACCACGGGGTGACCAGCCCCTCCCCACCCAGGCCCACCCTCCCCACCCAGCCCCACCCAGCCCCACCCTCCACTCCCCACCCAGCCCCACCCTCCCCACCCAGCCCCACCCTCCCCACCCAGCCCCTCCCCACCCTCCCCTCCCAACCCAGCCCCTCCCTCCCCACCGAGCCCCTCCCTGCACGATGGACAGACACAATAATCCCCTATGAGCTGGTGTAACTAGGAGGTTCCTACCAGTATAAAACCCACAAGGCTTGTTGATACACTTGCAATGCTCCCTGGAATTCCGTGTTAAAATAAAGCCTCGCCGCTTCGGTGATCGCGAGCCCTCAGAAGTGTCTGCCAGAGTGAGCAAAATAGTTTATCGTGACAGTTCAATGTTAGTTTATTAAGGCTGTCTGCCACGTGCTAATTGATTGAATGTGACATTTCCGCCGCCGACTAAACCGCCCGGAACGATCCCAGAGTTTATGTTCGAGACAGCGATCGTCTCCTCTTACTTCCTATTATGTAATACTAGCTTTACTACCCGGCTTCGCCCGGGACTTGGATTCACCACGCCCGGCCGCCTTTGTCTCCCCAGTGGCGATGTTCACACACCACACCATTTACTCGTTTGAGGCTGAGTCGACCTAGGGGAGGCCCAGGAGCAGTTGAAATAATCGTCACCGGTGGTGGCCGTGAGCGGGAATCGAACTCGGGTCGCCGGGTTCGTAGCGCAGCGCACTAACCGCTACACTACAATGCGTTACGCTTCCACATGCGCGGGTCACGTGACAGATTTGACGTCACAGCTCACTTGCCGTGCAAAAAACATATGCATTATTGAGCTCCCTCCCTAAAAAACTAAAACAAGTGTATTTTTTTTTATTTTTGCATGATGTACAGTCTGGAAAGTACCCACATGGCAAATTTCCAGTTTGTTGAATGTCGGGAAGTACGCTAAACATTTTGAACAGACACACATAGTTTGCCTTGTATATATATGGAGATACAAAAAATAACTCGACAAGTTCATTAAAGGACCGTCCTTCATAACACATCAAGAAGGGGCCATTGGCCAATGAGACAGTTTTACAATTTAAGGTCACAGCGCTGTGTACACCGCAAGGCGGCACACAGGCACTGCTAGGCAAGCGGGAACAAGCGGATGGACTGCGGGGCATAACCGTGATGGCACGACGGCGTAGGGTTTTCACGGTCGTGATTGAACACAGAAGGAAGCGAGGGATTGTGGGTAGAGGACGGGGTAAGTCAGGTGGCGGGGGCTTGCACTTGGTGCCCGCCTCCAAAAGCCTGCTCTGCGCACGTTCCGTGGCCCTGGGGGAATATCCTAAAAAGAATTAATACGAAGAGACCTGTGGACGGCGGCGCTGATGAAGACAAAACTCAATGAAGAATGCCATTTCAAGAAACATGACCAATAGGCTTACAGTGATGACGTCACCTTCACTCTATTTAAGATCGAAACAGGAAGACTTGGAGACAATTCAGGCGAATTGCCTGATGAAGCTGGTTGTATGTAATCACCGGCGAAAAGTCTAACTCTAAATGTATATGTAGTGGGTTTACTATCCAACACACAGCTGTGCTGAAGTAGTAACGAATTGGCACGTTTTGTTTGCGTGAAAAACCTTACTAATTGGCTGTGTCAGGTGGTGGCGGATTTAACGACACCTTTATATTTTTACGCAAACTAACCCGAAAAAACCTTTATTATCAAAAATATATATACAACTTATTTTAAGGCAAGTGTTGTTGACGGGTCTTGATTTTCCTTGTTCCTTGTGCATCACTGGCAGCGTAGCATCACCAAACAACTTGTTGAATGGTGTAGTGAAAACGTCGCTTGTGCAGACAGCCGATGTGCGCACAGAATAAAGTTTTAAATCGGCGTGCATCACCTGTCATGACATACAAATTAAAAACACGGGACCCAACAAATCGAAATGGAACAAAAAAACTAAAAAGTACCCCAAGACGCATGGAGATAAAAACATGCTTGGCATTACAGCGAGCGACTGCAAGAGGATGAAGCGACGACGCGCTGGTCGCAGATACCACACGGAACTCGTAATTTGTGTTCCAGGTCAGATCTTGCGGGTACCATGTCAACTGGACCTGTGCACACCCTCCGTCGCCAGCCTGAGACGGCCAAAAACAAAATCAAGTTGTCACCTGGACGAATGTGGCAATTTATTTTGTCTTTGAGGAAGCCGGTTATTTTCAAAAACCAAGCAAAACAATTACAATTGCTTTTCAACACACCGCTTGATTTGTTTGGCTGTGTCAGGGGCATAGTTCTCATTGACATCTCCTGCAGGCTCTAAACCAATCAAATAAACCTAAATTATAATATTGGCTCTGGAAGCCTCAGTATGAAATGACACGCGCTGCTAGCAATGGCGTGACACCCGTGATAGTAGCAATATAATATCAAACTTGTTACACGCCGCAAAGTATTCGCTCAACTCCTCTTGACGCGTATGGTTTGGTGTCCTTTCCCCGCACCTCCGATGAGCAAGGTTGTATACGTACGGTGCGAAAGAGGTTCAACATATCTTCTTGGTTCTTTCGGTAAAGTAACGTAGAATGGAAACAATACAAATAATAAAATAAAACATAATAAAATAATATAATATAATAAAATAATATTATAATATTAAACAATAAAATTAAATACTATAATATAATAAAATATTATTTTTATTGTTTCCCTTCTACGTGACTTTACCGAAAGAACCAAGAAGATGAATCCCTGAAGTCACGAAAGCTTTAAATCTAGGTTCAACATACGTACAGAACAACGAAAAGAGGCGTGAGGAACCACAAAGCAGGAAGGCAGCACATCCCCTCCCGTAAGCTCTGCGGCTCTCTATATATTAAGGTGTTTCGGCCAAGTATTGAGTGTTTGCATGCAGGAGGAAACCGGAGCACCCACTGAAAATCCATGCGTGCAAGGAGGCAACACTCAATCCTTGTACAGATGGCACAGGTGGCGTGCACATTTTTGCCGCACCGCCTTCTCCTGGTGATCCAGGGTACGGCTCCTCCTCAAGATCCACGGGAAGAAAGTTTCTGTGTGTGAGCCACCAAAATACTAGTTTTATTTTACCAGGTAAGGCCCCTTCAGATATATAGCTCTTCAGAAGCCACCTGGCCACAAATGAGCGCCCAACGAAGTGGCTTATCCCGTGGAAATTTATAGCAGCCAAACACTCTAGACACATGACGTTGAATCTGAATGTGGAGCAAAAAACCAGAGGAACCGGAGAAAACAACGACACGACCACGGGGGAGAACATGCAAACTCCAAATATGGGTCAGGATCGAACCCCCAATCTCCTGTATACCAGGCGAGCTAGTTAACACCTCGCCACCGTGGCGCCCCTAACCCTTGCAGTTGCCGCCACAGTGATGGATTACAGGCCCCGTCCGTAGCAGCCGCGAGTTTTAAACACGCGACATTTTAAACGTACGGCATCGAACGCACGTATCGGGCATAACAAGCAGCCAGAGGGCATGACAACTGGACAAACACGCCCATTGGGGGGGGGGGGGGGGGGGTAATGAGCAAAATAGCCGAAACTGAGATCGCGTGCATGCGTGAGCGAGAGGGATCGAGACGGCACGGAACCACGAGCGGTGGGTGAACACGCGGGCGAGCGTGTTAGCCAGCGGAGCGGCTCCGGTGATGTTGTTGCCCGGTGCCTTGGCAGTGAGGGAGTGGGTGGGGGGGGGGCACGGTGTTCAGCCAGCGTGGTGAAGGGGGTGGTGGGGGCGTGCTGTTTAACCGGCTATGCTCGTAATGACCAAGGTTTTGTCGTCAGGCTGGCGCTACTTAGACTCAGGAACCGATGCAAAAATCACTGTGGTTTTGTGGGAATGTATTTCTCTTATTTTGCGTGTTTATTATTACAATTTGTAAATAATTATCTTTAATTTAATGCACAAATGGTGAATTATTTATACTGTTCAGAGAGAATAATGCATTCATACAAATGTTCCACTTCAACCATTCATCTCTCTCTCTATGCATATTTTATCCAGAGCTGCTTTTTTCAACCAATTTTAGTTAAATTGTGCTGTCTGCATTACATCAACAACGGATGTGGCCAGTCCCAACCCCTTGAAGATAGGTGCATCAACCCACGTTAAAGAACAGCCCACAGAAGCATATATCACAGAACTACCCACTGTTATTATTGTTATAAGCTTGCTTATCCCAGGGAAAGCGTCGCCAAGGCTCTGGACTCTCTTTAGGAGGGTTCCTGCTAAGTTTTCGCAGTAGGTGGCGATGATCGCGATGTTATATCCACATTGGGCCAACTGCTGTGTCATTTTGCAAGTTCGGACCGCGACGCCGACACAAAAGGGAGCCCTCTCTCTTCACTCTTGCGAATGACGCCACGGGATCTTTGAACGTCCACTCTAAAGCAGATCGCAGCGTATTTTAAGGGCAAAAAAAAAAAAGGCGGAGCAGCCGCTGGTTTCAAAACCACGAAGCCTCTGCAACAACGTCCGTGCAGTGGCTAGCCGAGCTGCATGGGCATCGAACATAGGCATTGCAAGGTCGCACTCATGACACACAAAGTGCTTCCCACAAATGAACCACGATACCTTGCTGATCTCGTCA